GGATCAGCTACGGCCCCGGATCAGCTACGGCCCCGGATCAGCTACGGCCCCGGATCAGCTACGGCCCCGGATCAGCTACACTCAGAAGAAACGCAGCCGAAGCCATTTGGCAGGTTACCTGCTGTACGAGTTTCCTGGAATAAGCCCCAGGTGCCGTTTCTGCAGGAGCAGCGTAGAGTTGAGGCCGACCCGAGGTGACTTCTAGAGAAAAGAAAAATCCCGGTACGCTGTTTTTGACCTGCACTGCGGCCATAGAAATGGGTCCAGCTATTTCCAATGTCATAATGAACTGGACGTATACAAATTGACATAAAATCCAGAGCTGGTGATACGGACACCTGGCCACAAAGGGCCGCACACTGGCTCGGCGTGCTCACCGTCCCTACGCTGGCCGCCTCCTCCTCCAGGAGCCGCAGGCGCCGACGCTCCTGCTCCTCCCGCTGCAGGCCCTCCCTGGTCAGCGGGTTGCAGTTGTTATGTCCTGGCAACAGACGGAAGTAACGGTTCTTCTCAGCATCAAAGTAGAACCCTGGCAATTCTGTAAAAAAACACAAAACAAAAAGTATGACAAAGACTGCAAAATACACCAATGACACTAGCCAGTGTATTAATGCGTTACCAAGTATCAGCACTAAAAAATATGCAACACAAATGCCATGCATTACATAAAACTCAAATCCAAATTTATAAAACATATAACCTAGACTTCCAAATATCATAAAAAAATTAACTTCTCCCCAAAAAAAAGCAGTTTATTACCTGGGGCAGACATCTGAGTGTTGATGGATGAACTGCTGGTGTCTGTGACGTGACCCAATGCCCTGTGAGAAGGGGTCTCAGCAGATGCACAAACTCCCTCAAGGCTGCAGAAAGATTCACAGGAATAACCAGCGTAGCTGAGGGTGCATGTCAAGGACACCAGCATAAAACCAAGAAATTAAGGGAGTCCTTAAGCGTCCAGTACAATCTCTTCGGAGGAGATGAAACACAAGAATGTGCGTTAAATATCTGGCCCAGAGAATCTATCAAATTCCATATTAATATCAGATGGAATGCTGGCAGACTTTTTTGTAATTGACATTTCAGAAGTTTATCCCAAAACAGCCTGACGAATCATTATCAACAAGATGTGATTTTTGTAAAATTGACTGGTGTGTTTAGACATGAAAAATATGATAATGAATGTCACGGGAATGAGAAGACTCCTGCTTGACTGACTGAAAAAACAAAACGTGAATTTCAATACAGATAGTGTATTTTAGCATGTTCATCGTCATGATTTTATAGTTGATGAAAGAGCAAAAGGCGATTTGATGCTGTGTAACTGAAACCATACTGATAATCAAAACGATACAGTGTAACTCAATGCAGCGCGTCCATCGGTGCCGCACGGTAACTCCGCTCGTAAGCCCTGCGGTTACTGCCGTGTCTTCGCCAACCTGAGCCACAGAGGTGCCGACTGCGCTCATTCCCTCTATTCTGCATGTTCACTGTCTTCATTCCCACCACCAGTGATGAAGAAAAGTGTATTAATCCGGAAACGCACCTACCATTTTACGCGCACTTACTACAGTGTATTCTCTTCCAAAACACTAAACCCGCCTTACATGGCTCAACCAAAGTTTTCAGTCACGTTTCGTATCGGATTGACTGTGTCGTTAACTATACCAATGCCAATCTTACATCCACTAAGTACAACAAAAGTTTGTACCTCCCTTAAAGGTAAGATCGCCACATTAGGGCGAAATTACCAAGCAAGCTAGGTGGCTAACATATAATAGCATCGAACTTAAGAGAAAACTATATCAATAAGCAAAACAGCACCGCTTATAATAACAGTTTCCTATCACGCAATAAGTTAGTTTTAACAGAATATTCTGAAAGATACCTATATAAATACACATATGAAATACAGCGCCATTGCCATCATACTATTTCGTTACCTGCACAACGTCGTCTCCACGTGATTTCGAATAAGCCCGCCTCTCCACTGCGATTGGCTAACAATATTAAATAAAACAAGCGTAATGCAGTTACGCGATTGGTGGATAAGCCCATCAATTACGTGTCTTTTGTATGGCACACAACTATTTAATTACAAAAACAGGACAGATAGACAAAAACGTTTTATAAGGCATTTTGGAAAACAATGTTCATGCATTGACAAAGTAACAGCTCCAGTGGAGACGAGCAAATAGAATGAGAAAAAAAGTATAATAAATTAAAATCAAATTTACATTAAACATTTCAGACAACAAATTTATTCCATAAAGTTATAGTTTTCTGGTTGTAGAGTTTTACTAGATTTTATAATGTATTAATATGTCAGTAAATATGCATTCAACGCAATGAAGTTTGACTTTTGAACAGCAGATATACAAGAATGTATATAGAATTTCCAGAAAAAAAATAAAAAGGGCAGGTAGATAATATAAGATCTACCAGAATCTAAAACTGGTGGGTTACTGCTTGAAATTCGAAATGGAATGTCTTTCCTTTTGTTAGTTTGATTCAGTTGTTCTGTTTATGTCATTCTTAAAGCGTTTTGTAGTGCCAAAGGATAATTATTAATTATTAATGCTATTTCCATGAGCATTTAACATTTTTATTGCTTTTATTAATAAATTACCAAAACCAAGCGATTCTAGCAATTTCTAAATGAAAACGTGTTCAATGAAATCAAATGCTTCATGAAAGTCGAGAAAGCTTTCTTCGGTGACCAATTCCGGCTAAAACATCTATAATCAGCCTGATTTTATTTATAATGTACCTTCCAGACATATCAACAGTATTGTCGATAATTTTGCCTAAAGAGTCTTTTAATTCAATTTGAGGCTAAACAAATTGCAACGATTCTGTAATCGCAATTTAATAGTGTGATAAGACGTCAGTTTGCTATTAGGAGTGAATATTTTTATGGTTTGAGAATGAATGTAATCAAAGCTGTTGGCATGATTTGCTGTAAATACACACGTAAATTTCATACTTAATATGCAGAAAAAAACTACCCATAGTTTTTAAGTGCCTGACCTTGACTAAGATATCCTGAATTCTATATGAGTGAAATGTAGAACTTTCTTGAATAATACTGAAAAAGACAACGATTGTTTTTAAGTAAAATGATAATTACACGTCTTCTTCATTTACATTCCAGGGCAGTAGGTGGCGATATGTCCCTACAAATGTAATAAGGATTCCGTCGCCAAATACAGCGAAGAAGTCGAGGCAGCTGCATGACAGCCGGGGAGCGGCAGGATCACGTGGTTCGGTAACGCGTAGACTTTCAGGTTGATGTGTTTGGTCTGTGTGCTGACACGCTGGATATGTAGACCAAGCGTAATGTCATGGGTAAGGAATTTTAATTTAGTATGCCCATATTGTGTACGTGTCATAGCTGTGATTCTTAACTGCTGTGTGCAGTTAGCTGGCTAACCTGCTAAGTTTTAATGTTCGCATTTTGTCTTTTTAGAAGACCGGCTGCTCGCATCCAGATAATCGGTTATTGTCGCGGATTCGCTTGCGGTAAATTGGAAGGTTTGCGGCATTTTGATTTTGCCAATTCAGTGTTTTGCTTAGATGGGATACAGTTCTATTTATGTATCGCACATAGAATTTTTAACTATTTAACTTTGTTTCTTTCTTTCTTTTTGTGGCCCGCTGGTAAATAGAATTTGTTACCCCCGGAAAAGTAATGTATGCACCTGTCATTGTGTCTTGCAGTTACGTTTTGTAACTACCCTCTAAATCTTTGGGAGGAGGTGAGTAAGTGTTAACAAAATGACAAAATGAGTATTGCTTGTGAGAAAATGGGACTTAATAGGAAATGTTGTGAATGACAGTTTACAGGTTTTAATTCCTGTTGGTTGGTTTTGTTATCGGAGTGCGTAAATTCATGGAAATATGTATATGCACTTAACTAAAGCGTCTTTATAACATTCACATAGCGTTTCCCCAACTAGCATATAAGTTCGTTTTCTGCTATAGAATTTTATGAAGCCTACCCCACTAATATTGTATTGTTAGTTTTTGCCAGCAACAAACTAGTTTTTATTTAAAAAAATTGATTTCTTTTTAAATCCGTTTTCGTTTTTGTTCTTTAAACTGCAAGTGTGTTGGGAGGAAAAGATAAACTTGAAAACTTGTTTCAAATAATCCCCGGTACTTAAAATTGGACAAAACCCTGAATAATTCAGCAGATTCTGAAAACTCCTCTTCATCCATCATACTTTTTTTCCCTGCCCCCATGTGCCACTGGGTGCAGTATTCTGATGTTACCGTTGATAAATGAGCTAAAATTCCGAAGTGATCGTAGATGTTTCCTGTCTAGTACATGTTGAATATTTTCATTATAACTGTACGTGACAAGTGGTTGTGCGCCTGTATCTCCTTGCACCTTATGCACAGTGTATAGTGTGACTCGGATTGTGCTTTAGCAACTTACCGGACTCGTTTCTTCTCAGGCACAGACCAGAGGAGGGGAAACGGAACAAAAATTTCAGCATGGACTTGAAGACCTTCCTGCAGCTTTTTGTACTGGTGGTCCGGGCTCTGGATGGAACCATTTTTGTTGAAGGAAATCTTTTTGATGTTGATTTTTCTGCACAGCGGGAGAATATCCTGCCAAACAGCGCCCGGCCAGCCAACAGCAGCCGTGTGTTTTACGGGATAATGATGGACGCTGGCAGCACGGGCACTCGCATCCATGTTTACTCTTTCATCCAGGAGGACCCGGGTGAGACCCTGCACTCCATGCCACGTGTCATGCCCATGGCTGTTTGCCGTTTTATCTGGAAATATTTCTCTCAATTGGCCATTGTTTGAGTAATTCATTAAAATATAATTTTACAGTAGTATTTATTAGATTAAATTATACTGCATTAAATTTGACTTCAGTGTGTTGGACTTTGAAACACAATGAAAGCATCCCTGTTCTTTCTCATTGGCTCCGATTGCCGTTTCCATTTCATGTGTGAATGTGCCTAAGCTTCTGTCGTGTTTCCGTTAAAGACGGGCTGCCGTATTTGCACAACGAAACGTTCCATTCGGAAGAGATTGGTTTATCTTCGTATGTGAACACGCCTGAGGAGGTAGGTTCAGGTTTCCCTGTAATGCTGCCTGGCATGCATTTTGTGACCAGACATTTTTGACATCTTTCTCTTGGTCTTGTCTAATTGGCTGTGTATGCGGCTTCACCTGAGAGTACAGTCCACGGCTGAGGCTCTGTAGTTGGGAGTGGACTGATTGCAGTGCGGCCAGATATCAGACAGCCCTGCTTGTCCTTTCTCTGCTCCCTCAGGCTGGGAAGCTGGTGCGGGAACTACTGAAGGTTGCAACGTCGGCAGTGCCTCGCGCCATGTGGCACAAGACCCCGTTGGTGCTGAGGGCCACCGCCGGCTTTCGGCTGCTGCCTGCGGATAAAGCTCACGTGTTGATTGAGGAGGTGAGTCGCCTGCGTGTGAAGCCGGGAAGGTTCATTTCAATATCACAGGAGTCATATACACTGACATCTCACAGACTAAATATCCTGGGTTTGCTTTCACTAACATGAGCTTCTGCTCCTATTCTGACTGCATATGTAGTTTAAGTTCTTCTGAATGTCCTCTGTGGATGATATGTACAGAAGGTTTCCCTATGTCAAACAGGAGCAGTAGGTGTTTGTGAAGATTCTCAGTCATCCAGGTGAAACTGTCTGGTGGTTGAGTCCTGGCAGCTGGTGTTTCTCTTTGTGGAGCACTAGGTGTTTCTGCAGTTTTCTTGTGCCTCAGGCATTCCTTTTGCTATAATTTCTTCTCTCCTTAAGATCAAGGAAGTCTTCAGTCAGTCCCCCTTCTTGGTGACAAGCAGAAGCGTCAGTATCATCGACGGTACATATGAAGGTATGTGTGGCTGGCTGCTTCCAGAGTTATCCAAAGGCAGGCCGCCATACTCTTACCTCACGGGAAAGTAAAAGCTCTCTTGTCCAGCAGTTAACCGGCACAATTCTACAATATCATTTTTTAAAATTTATTTTGCATTCATAATAATAATAAGTAATACATGTATGGCAGTGTAGTTTAACTAAAGTAGGTAGTTTAGTAAGTAGAAATTTACACTGAGTTAAAAATAAAAAGTGGACTGAGTTTATTTTTAATGCAAATTTTATCTTGTATAGTCATGACTGCTAATTCCATATATTACTGCATCCTCAGCGGTGTGAAATTAAATGATTTCTGTTCTGTTTCTGTTAGGAATCCTGGCCTGGGTGTCTCTGAACTTCCTAATGGGTAAAGTGCTGTTAAGCTGATTGATTTAAGTCACAAAACAAATTGTATTTTTATTAGACACCTGTGAGTTACAAATGGATAGAAACATGTTTTAATTGCTTTAGTTAGAAGTGTGTAAAATATTCTTTCCTTATTATTGTTACCCACACAGCGAAGTGTAGGATCTGTCTCCAAATCCATGAATAATGAGCTCAGCCAAACACGTTATTGTTCACTTAGTAAACTTATCACTGACAGAATTCCCGGAACTTTCACCGATTTTGGCCTCTTCTCTATATTTGTTTTGTTTTCTTCAGGACATTTTTAATGTCTTCTCATGGGGCGTGGTGCTCAGTAATGTGCCTGTTTCTAGGGCATTTGCATGTCGACATGAAGAGATCAGCAGGCGTTTTAGACCTGGGTGGGGCCTCAACCCAAATCTCATTTCTACCTAAGTGTCAGGTAAACATGCCATTCTTCATTACGTGCATTTTTTTCCACTGATTCTTTTTTAAAATATTGTTTGCTTTTACTTGCAGTCCTCTGTATTTTACATGCAGTCCTCTGTATTTTACATCCCTTTATTTAACAGAAAACAGTTAATAAAGCTCCTACTGATCATGTTGCCAAATTGGAGATATTAAACACAACATACCTGCTCTACACTCACAGGTAACCGGGCCAGTGTTTTGTTTTTTTTGTCTGTTACCAGTGAAGTTTGTTTGTGCGTGTGTTTGTGTGTGTGCGCGTGTGTGTGTGTGTGCATGTAACACCCAGGGAATAAGACAGACTGGGTCTTGTATCAGGACATGAGAAACAAAGCCTCCTTAATATAGAGCACTGTGTGACTTTAATGCTCACGAGGTCTGCAGTGTCTAAATCGTATTGTGGGTTCAAATATCACAGAAAACTGAAGCATCATTTGGGGGGTGAGCCTTCATTTCTGCTTTGCTGGAACTATGAGTGAGTTGTTTGATGGGATTCAGAGAATGATGGTAATTTTGTATTCCATTTGAACTGGAAAGTCAAAATTTCTGTGTTCCTAGTCAAATTTCAACTGGATGCCCCCCTGTAGTCAGAATCACTAGAATCAAGAACTTATGCAACTCTGACCTCAGAATCCAAGATGGCTGCAACTTTCATCGACTGGAGTGGAAGCTGTAGTTATACAGTATATATAACAATGGCTACCAATGATCCTTCTTAGAACTGATTTTGCTCATGACTAACCTGGCTCGTCCTACTGGAACAGGGTTAACTTCAGTGTGACATAATTCCCAGTTTTGATTAAATGCAGCATACCAACAAAAAGTATGTAAGGGCATGTGACCATGCAGTCAGCATGGTGTGATTACTGGATACTTCCCATGATAAACAGGAGCCATCAGCACACTGTAAATTAAGGGCCTGAAGGGCAAAAGCTAATTGTTGCCATGCGCTGGGGCACACAGGGACAGTGATTTCTCATGTTTGTTGGGTTGAATGTGTTTTTTTGTCATTCATGTTTGTATATGTTTGTTGCTGACGCAAATATTCTTCTCACAGCTACCTCAAAAATGGACTCAAAGTTGCTCGCCTTCTCACTTTAGGGGCCCTGGGTGATGCAGGTATGTAAAGTGTATTTTGTGAAGGGAATCACACAGCCTTGGGGCCACAGTTTTGTCTGTCGAATGATTGAATCTTTTATGTACGTACACATTAGATTAATTAAGAGCATGTCTGTGTGATACATGGATGGCTGATTCATTGAACGGTTCTGTTTGGGTTTCTGCTAACTATCAGTGTCCTTAATCAGTTCCTTTGTAATACTATATGAAACCATAATGTCAAATCCTTTTCTTAACATAAATGAAGCTATCACAAAGATGTACTTGTTCTTTTGTTCATTTATAGTATTCTATGTATACCTGTACCTGTAGTAGGGATGTGCCAATCCAATATCAGTATCGGTCCGATCCTGGCTTAAATTTCTGGATCGGATATCAGGGAGGAATGAAAAATGTGATCCGATCCAATAAACATCATGGAAATGCTTCACAAACTATTCACATGCTGTAAGCAGATGGACCGCTGTCTCATGTACTGAGTCAGTAAACGTCCATATAGTACCGAAAAAACAGGTATTATCTGAACTAAGGCATGTTTTGGGTGTAATGTGTTTCTTATCAGTATAATATTTGTTTCATGGTTTTCATGCTTTTTATATTTGGGAAAAAATGTCTGCATGCATTCTGCATACCTCAACACTCAAAGTACAATTTTCTGTTTTGTTGCGTAAAAAAAGAGACTGTATCAGATCTGTATTAGTATCGGCCGATATCCAGATTTACAGTATCGGTATCAGACATTAAAAAAGGTGGTACTACAGCTTAGGGAGCACGATACATCCACTGCAGACTTGTGTCATTGTGCACTTTGATTCCAATACTGTGTGGTAATTAGTATTAAGGTATTAGAGAAAAATAATGGTACAATGGTCTTTCACAATATGGTTTATAAGCACAGCAGAAGGAGTTAGGAAATCATACATCAAAGCAAAATGTGATTGGTTAAACCAGGGGTGGCCAATCTTACCCGCAAAGGGCCGCTGTGTATGCGGGTTTTCACTGCAACTCCCTAATTATATTACTAATTAGAGGACTGATTGGCTGAAGAGTCCTCACACCTGGGTTTGAACAGCTGACCTACAGGTTATCCCAAAAACCTGCACATGCACCGGCCCTTTGCGGATAAGATTGGCCACCGCTGGGTTAAACTGAACCATACATCTTCCCAGGTTACTTCTGTAAAAATCTGCATTTAGCAATAGTCAAAACTGTCGTGTCCCAAAGCATCTTATCTCTAGCGCTAATTTTCAGATGCTTCAGACTTTGTATGACTGTGTTTCAAAGGCCTCTCTCTACTCTGGAGTGGCAAAGAGTGAGACATATCAAATGTATGAATTTATTTGCAGTTTGTGGTTGATTGTTTTGGAAATCGGCTGTAGTAACAATGGCTCTGAATCTGGGGAAATGCACTTCAATTTCAAATATAAGACTATTCATGCATAAGCAGTTTAGTTTCATTGTGGTTCATGTCCTTTAGGACTTATTCTCCCTGTGCTGAAATTACGGCGCTCTCACACAGCTCAGGGTCATATGCTGGCATGGGGACGACATATCGACCCCGTTTCCTGAACATTCTCATTTTAATATAGTAACGACCAAGTTACTATATTATTGATGTATATATGTATATCATGTATGCTGTCCATGTTTGGTGAATTGTGAAATTTTTTTTGCAATTGATGCCGGTGCAACTTTGATGTTTCTTGGTTTCCAGATCCAGGAAAGAAAGTTTTTAAAAGTTTGTGCCTGCCGAAGAACTATTCTGATAATTATACCTTTGGTGGGATCACATACGAAGTCCGTGGAAATATAAATGGTAAGAATCTGCTCATAGGAGTGACAAACTGAAACTTTCACTTTCTTTTGTTAGTATTCAGCATTCTTCAGAATACATTTGTTGTTTGCATTCATGACAAAGGAGAGTTCTGTGCTGTACTAAGAAGCAAATTTTACTTACCCAGATGTAATGCGATAGTATGGTTAACTAAGCCTGATTGCCAGCACGACTGTGGTTATCGATCACCCCCCCCCCTCCCCCACCGGAATGGGGTTACAAGGATTTTTTTCCCCAATAGTGATCCCAATAGAAGCCCCTTCGATATCACTCTCTTTCAGTTATGTTTTTTGGTGAAAAGGGTGGGACTTGCGCCTGTTTTAATCTAAAAGCCTGCAGTTAAACCTGCTTGGAAAAACTTCAAATAGTGGTTGATATTGATGCCTGTGGTGAATGTTCTGTATTCACATGATAGGGACTGGATTTGATTATGCAGTGAGTTATCCTGTGGTCCATCCTGAAATGGGAGTATTCATTTAGATCTTAGATTATTTTTCTTTAATAACTTGCACATCTTGTAATCTGCCTGCAGGCTACAATGGCTACGAGACCTGCTACAAAGAGGTTTTGAAGGCCATCAAGGGCTCTGTGCGCAAGCCGTACAATGTTCACGAGAACATGTTTCATGCTGTTGCCTACTACTATGACATGGCTAAGGACTCAGGCCTCATTGGTGAGTAGAATCCATAGCATGCAGAGCTCCTCTGGATGGTTATATCTGACGCTCTTCCCTTACGCCACATCTGCAGACTGGAGTGAGCCTGGTTGCAGCAATTAGGGTGGGGGTTCTCAAAGTCCGGACTGTGGTCTGGATGCCAACCTCACTACAGGTTAATCCGGACCCAGCCGGTAACGCACCTTATGAGTCGATATGGTTAATGTGAAAAGGCTTAATGTGGTTTGAAATGCAAAAGTACAATCTCGAACCATCAAACTTTGCACACAGCTTGTCATAATCCCCCCCCATTGAATCCATATTTACATTAAGATTCTATTATTTTCGTTATATATTGATTTCTATAATGAATGTTAGCATCACATGAACTTTAATGAATTAACACTTTTGTTATTATACTGAACCTCTGACTTTGAACAAAAATCTGATGCAGGCCTTTGATCAAAACATTTGAGAACCTCTGGAATAGGGTTCTGTCTGGTTCCCCCATCTGAGTCTTTCAGGCCAGTAGAGCTTGGCTCTGTGCTCAGGCATGGTCCAGGGCTCACATGAAAATGTTACATATGACTTTTTGGACAATTTTTATATATTTAATTATTCCGGGTTCTGTTTCGATATTTCAGATATCATTTAAAAAAAAAAAAGTTTCCAAAAAATGTGCAGAGAAATATCAGCTGCCATCACTGAAATCCCTGGAATGCTCCTAATTTATTTTAAAATGTACTCAAATTGTGCATAAAAGTGAAATTTTTAATTTATTTCAGAAGGCAGTCAAGATGAGCATGTGGAAGTGAAAAGGTTTAAGAAGAAAGCAAAAGAAGGTGAGGACGTGTCCTGCTGAAAGCTGGGGGGTTCAGGCGGGGGTCTCACCGCGTCAGTCCTGGCTGTGCAGGTTACTGTGTTCGATTTGGCACAAGCTCAAACATTTGTGCCCTGTCTGGCCAGGGAGAGAGAGCAGACCTCATTTGTGTAACTGCATGTTTTGAAGTGAATATATCATACAGTACAAGGCTTTCAGCTACACTTGGTTGCGAAGAGCTTGTTCTTTGTGCTGTGTTGCAGTATGTGGTGACAAGTCCAAGGATCACTACGGCAAGCCTTTTGACTGTATGGACCTGACGTACATCACGGCCTTGCTGACAGAGGGCTTTGGCTTTCAGGACAGCGTGGGCCTGCAGGTAAGGCGTGTTGTTCTCCGTGGGGCTGCAGGTCAGGCGTGTTGTTCTCCGTGGGGCTGCAGGTCAGGCGTGTTGTTCTCCGTGGGGCTGCAGGTCAGGCGTGTTGTTGTCCGTGGGGCTGCAGGTCAGACGTGTTGTTGTCCGTGGGCCTGCAGGTCAGGCGTGTTGTTGTCCGTGGGAGGCCTTCAGCAGTACTCCCTCATATGTTCTTCTTATTTTGCAGCTGACAAAAAAAGTGAAAGGCTTTGAGAGCAGCTGGGCCTTGGGAGCCATGCTGGAGTACCTCCATAAAGTCCGAATCCCCTGACGGTGTTCCTCTAAAGTCTAACGAAAGGTCACAGAGAGCTTGGACACTCTGTCCTCTAGGTCAGTAGCCCTTAGGCCTTATGACAGAAAATGTATAAAAATTGTTGCATCAGACACTAAACATATCAACGAACCTCTCAAGTTCAAATTACAATTGCTGCACCCTTAGTGATTGTTTTCAGAATATTTTCCTGTCGGTGTATTGGCTTTTCCCAGCCACCTGCTTGTTTTATTTATTAATATACAATATTATGTTATTCCTCCATGGCAACTTAGGTTTTTAACAGTCTTAAGTCAGTGCCTTGATGCTTCTCTTGTGTTTTTTTTTTTTTTTTTTTTTTTGCATATGATTTAAAAATATGGTACAGATTGTCGAAGCATGAAAACTATTAGGCCTACATAAAGGACCAGATTTACTAAGAAAGCCAAATTAGCTTGCAGACATAATCACAAAAAAGCAGAAATTGGAGTGACCAACTCTGCATCCGTGTCCATAAATTTGTGCATTTTTCGTAGATCACCTGCAGTCAGCTCATTTAAATAATGACCAACCCAATCTACCAAGGCCAGTGCAAAACGAGCCATTTGCTTCCTGTAAATCACATTGCGAGATTCATTTACTGTCCTCTCCCAAATTTTGCGCTTTGAAAAGGAACTTCAAAAAACTCATGTGCAATATGGCCAGTCGCAAAATTAACCGTCAACGCCTTTCCACAGTGCGTCTTTAGTGAATCCTGACAGTACTATTTTAATTATTTTAATGCTAAAAGAGTGTTTGCACTAGTGAACTGTTAGTAAATCTAGTCCAAAATGGCTTATCCTGCTCCTGGCAGCAGTGAACCTTTGAAAGTCGTCTTCAGGTCAATCCAAGCACATAGACACAGCTGCTTAAGAAACAACCTGTCTGACTGTTAATATCCTCTCTTAAATTAAATTTCAGAAACATGCATTTATTGAAAAATACACGTTTGTTTATTTGTTTTGTAATTGTGTTGTTGATTACTGATCGAAGCTACCAATGTTTATCAACACTGTAGACTTTGCCTGTGTACTGTTACTCTGTGTGAGGAAGTGTATAAAATTAGTTTTAACACATTCATGTTGGGTGAAATTACAGTACTTGTATGTATTTCAGCACATAATGTATGTTTTTGTTGTCTTTTCAAAGTGGAAAGTGTTGGATATTCAATTCAGTTTATTTCTGTATATCGCCTTTCATATCAATCGGCTGTAGACGCTTTACATGGGTGAGCTGTGATACATTACATCATCATACAGACAGAATAATACAGAAACAGGGAAAAGGGAAGACAAAGAAATGAATGAATGAATTAAAGAAAGAGAGAAAGAAAGCCAAAGGCCAACAGAGGAGAGGAACCAAGAACTCCCAAGTTTTTGGAGAACCAAGGTCAACAGGGTGCCCAGGTTTTAATGCTAACATTATTGAAAAACAAAGATTGGGCTTGCTTGCTAAAAACAAGATGTGAAGTGTGGTCAAGGGCGAAGTCAAATTCATCAGAGTCGAATCTCTTTGACTGTGTAGGGTGGCAGACTGAAGGCTACACATATGACGTTACGGTTTGTAAGTCACATCCACAATGTCACCCCTCCATGGGACTGAACCAGGACTCCAGCTCAGATGGTGCCCACTTTGGGCACCACGCGGACATGTGGGAAGGCAGAGAGCATGGCTGGTCATAACATGCGTTTACACATAAATGGACAAGCATAGTAGGTAAAAAGGGCGTGTGCGGCCTCACCAGCAGCTGTGGTTGTGGTGTCTTCTGTACCAAGTTGTGGGTAATAAGCTAAACCATTATAGTCTCCTGTCTTATTGCTCTTTGTGTTAAAGTTTTGCATTAGCTACACAAACCACTTGCACATGTAAAATGTTTTATCTAAATTCTTTGGAGGAAATTTTCAAATAGGAAGTACTCAAACATTTACTTGACCTAATTAAAGAGAAAAAGAAATATAGTTTTAACTCTGTATAGGAGTGTGGAAAAAAGTATGATTTATGTGTAAAATTTATAGTAATATTACCAAAATAAAGTGAGAGTTAAAAAAAAAAAAAGAAAAATAATGGTTTTAATGTTTTTTCCCAGGTGGCTCACAACTCCCCTTCTGAAACACCTGTTATAGGAAAAACCTACTTTACATTTTCCCAGGACCCATAGTGTCACTGCGGAGTGCAGTTATACTTGAGAGGGATCATGCAAACCACACAGCTGGAAGTCAAACCCGCAACCATAGGGGTGATGTCACAGGGCTTGACTCCCTCACCCAAGCATTACACTCGAAGCAAAATATTGTGGAAACCTTGCCGGCAATAATGTGACATGGCATGCGATCATATATTCTTTTTATAGCCTCTCTATCACCAAATATGTTTATCTGACATGGATTGATTGACGGCTCAAACACAGCAGAGCTTCATGTCCTGTGTGCCGTGACACATTATTCCCGCAGTCATGATTAAAATTATCTGCCGTTTGTGCCATAGAAGCTCTTCTGTTTGTTCGTACCAGACGGGATAGCCTTAGTTCACATCGCACATTGACGAGTCCTGGCTGCCCAACACCCTCCTTGTATTGCTCCCAGTAAGTACTCACTATGGCTCACTGAGCTCCCCACAAACCTTGTCGTTTCGGCAATACTCTGGCCATACTTGTATCGTTCCCAGTAAGTACTCACTATGGCTCACTGAGCTCCCCACAAACCTTGTCGTTTCGGCAATACTCTGGGCATACTTGTATCCCTCCCAGTAAGTGTACTCACTATGGCTCACTGTGAGCGCCCCACAAACCTTGTCGTTTCGGCAATACTCTGGCCATGCTTGTATCGCTCCCAGTAAGTACTCACTATGGCTCACTGTGAGCGCCCCACAAACCTTGTCGTTTCGACAATACTCTGGCCATGCTTGTATTGCTCCCAGTAAGTACTCACTATGGCTCACTGTGAGCTCCCCACAAACCTTGTCATTTTGGCGATACTCTGGCCATAATGATTTGGCCCTTTTCAGAGTCACTCAGATCTTTAGCCCTTCCTAATTTCTTCTGCATTCACCATGTCACTATATGATAGCTTAACATGAAATATATACCAGACCTTGACATGTACTGTTTTTAAAACATTATTCTTGTCATGTAGGGTTGGTCATAATGTTTTGTCTCATCTGTGTATACACACACTAGCATCCGTCACAAGATCTCTATCCTATATTGCACCTATGGTTGTGATGGAACAAGAGATTTGCATCATAAAAGGTGCATTTGTCAAATCTGCAGCAAATGTGTGGTGGTGTCATGTCAACATGGACTAATGTCTCTGTGGAATGTTTCAAGCACTTTGTTGAATCCATGCCACCAAACAAGGCTTGTCATCATTGGAGGTGATCTCAATGCAGAAAAACATCAAGATGATATTCTGTAACCAGTGGCAAACCCATATCTTCACAGTCTGGGACCAAACTCTATCCTCCAAGATGACAACACTCGCCCCGCACAGAGTGAGGTTTATCAGAGACTACCTCCAGAATTCAGGAGTGGAGAGGATGGAATGGCCTGCCTGCGGTCCTGACCTCAACCCCATTGAACAATTGTGGGATCAGCTTGGGCGCACTGTTCATGCCAGAGTGACCAAAACAACTATAATGGCTGACTTGCAACAAATGCTGATTGAAGAATGGGATGGCATCCCACAGCAGTGTGTGACCAAGCTGGTGACCAGCATGAGAAGATGTTATGGGTGTGTATGGTTCTTCCACATGCTACTGAGGCTCCTGTTTGTTAAATGAATAAATTATTAAATTACCAATATGTCTTGTTTCTCCAGATTTCAATCATCCAATCCACTAAAGGACAGCAAACAAAAGTCAATAGCAGAATCAGCTGTTTAGCATTGGCAGAGATCTGACAAGTTTGTCAGGGGGTAACCCACATACGCATCTCTGCTGCTCAGCCCACAAATACATTATCCTTACAAATGTGGCACCATTTAAAAGGGAAATAAATATGCTTTCCAACGGTATAATATTTATTCCCAAGAAGTATTGTCACAACAAAGAAAAATTTCCTTACTTGTGGTGCTAAGTTTATTTACCAGTAGGTGTCACTAGTGTACAGTAATAAACCTTTTGGCTCGAAAGCCTCAGTGGTTTTAAAAAGTCTCATTTTGTTATTAGAATCTGCCCTGGCTAACGGCGTCTGCCAACTACCATAACCGAAATGTGGTTACAGTATATACGTGTGTTTGAGATCGACATTACTCGTAGCCAATGAAAATGGGGAGCGGTCAAATTTCTGCCGCTAATTTCAATATGAACTTATACAGGAAGATTTGTGTAAATATAAAGTTGAATTTAGATAAAGAAAGATGGAAAAGTTATTTAAAAAATACAGAAATGTCCAAGTATATAGATGTGGGAAGTAAAATAATATAAAAACACTACACAAAGGGGCGGGGGTTGCAGCGGACCAATCAGCATAATCTCATCTATGGCTTCAATCAGGTAGTTCTCAAGCATATAACAAATGACTAGCGAAAGCGTATTTGTTAATTGTGTTTCAAAGAAAGCATTATGTCTGGCAGAGGAAAGGGAGGTAAAGGGCTCGGAAAGGGTGGCGCTAAGCGCCATCGTAAAGTCCTTCGCGACAACATCCAGGGTATTACTAAGCCGGCTATTCGTCGTCTTGCCCGCCGAGGTGGCGTCAAGCGTATCTCCGGTCTGATCTA